AGCATGTGCAGGATTAGGGGTTCTATTCATTTCCCAAGTGGTCTCATGCAATTGTACCATATTTTAAAAATGAGGAAGAGAGAGAAAGAGAGTAGGAAGGAAGGAAGGGCCACTGAGTTGCAGGTGGACAAGAAAGGCAAATAGGAAAGGCTGGTATGCAGCCATTCGAAAACCACACACCAGGGCCCTGACCTTGATAGCCCAGGCAAGCCCAATCTTGTCAGATCTTGGAAGCTAAGCAGGGTCGACTCTGGCAAGTACTTGGATAGGAGACCTCCTTGAAATACCAGCAGTCGGGAAGCCAGGGGCAGACTTTATTCAGCAACTTCTCTGAATATCCTCCAGGACCCCAGTAGGGGTCAGTCACCAGAGGTCGCCATGACTTCCAGGTGCACGCACGCACACATGTACATATGAAAAATACTGAAGAAGAAGAAGAAAACCACACACCAGAAAGATGTTACTGCAGAACTATGATGTAACCATTTATAAACCCAACCATGTTTCTCAAGAAGCAAGTGCCATGGATCCCAATGGGAATTGCTTCCACACAGACCTGCACAGAAGTTACACCTCAATGTGATCTGTCTCCTGGTGTAGGACTTCTGGATCAGCCCACTGAAGTAAAACTACAACAAATGCTAAACTACAACATAAGCTACGATCGATGTGGCTTTAAGGAGTCATAGGATCACTGAAAGATGTGCACTTTTGTAAAGGGGAAAATTACTGAATCTCAAAGGTGGGAAGCAAAGTAAAGGCCACTGAGATAGGGCACAAATCAGCCATATAAAAAGAAGTGAGATATTAGAAAACATGGAAAAAAGAAAAGACAAAAAATGGATGTTTATTACAAGAAAGGTAGTATGATTCAGCTGTGATTCAATAAGTCTCTGGGTCACTTATGAGCTTGGCCACCAACTAACTCGAAGGCCTTAGGAAAATAATACTCCTCTAGCCTTAGCTGCTGTCCCCCACCAATAAGGATAGTAATACTATCTGCCTTAAAAATGACCCTATATTATATTACTAAAAGAATCTATACAAACACTTTAAAGGAACTCCCAAACAACTCTGTACCTCAGCTTTCCCCAAAGTACTGAGAGTCTCCAGCGTTTTGTGCTGAAGCAAATACTCCAAGCAGGGTCCTGTCTCCCCTGATGGCTGTTGCTTCTCCTCATACACCAGGATGTCCAACATCTGTTTTAAACGCCAGGGGATGTCCGTCTGCTTTGCTGGCTTGTTTTCATCTGTAAAGAAGACAAATATCCATCAAACACATACATCATGTATTATTGTACATGGGATCCCATTCACTTCTTCCTGAAGTCACTATTAATACCTACTGATGAACAGCACCAGGCATGAATGTCTGTACAGCATTAATGCTCTAGAGCTTCTTTTCAATTGGATTGTGCTTCATACTGTTTTGCCAAACAGTGAAAACCAGTGAGGATTGAGAGGCACTCCAAAGGGATCTGTCAAGGATGGGCACGTGGGCGTCAACATGGCAAATGGGGTTCAATGTGGCCAAGTGCAAGGTGATGCACATTGGAGCCAAAAATCCTAAATATAAATACACATTGATGGGGTCTGACTCTGAACTGGCAGAGACTGATCAAGAGAGAGATGTTGTAGTTGTAGTAGATAACTCACTGAAAATGTCGAGACAGTGTGTGACTGCAATAAAGAAGGCCAATGCTATGCTGGGGATTATTAGGAAGGGTATTGAAAACAGATCAGCCAATATCATAATGCCCCTATATAAATCAATGGTGAGACCTCATTTGGAATACTGTGTGCAGTTCTGGTCACCACACCTTAAAAAGGATATTGTAGCTTTGGAAAAAGTGCAGAAAAGGGCAACTTGAATGATAAAAGGGTTGGAACACTTTCCCTATGAGGAAAGGTTAAAGTGCTTAGGGCTCTTTAGCTTGGAGAAAAGACGACTGAGGGGTGACATGATTGAGGTTTACAAGTTTATGCATGGGAAAGAGCAGGTAGAGAAAGAGGTACTTTTCTCCCTTTCTCACAATACAAGAACTTGTGGGCACTCCATGAAATTGCTGAGCGGTCAGGTTAGAACGGATAAAAGGAAGTACTTCTTCACCCAAAGAGTGATTAACACATGGAATTCACTGCCACAGGAAGTGGTGGCGGCTACAAGCATGGACGGCTTCAAAAGGGAATTAGATAAGCATATGGCACCTGGTATTTTTGGCCACTGTGTGACAGTGTTGGACTAGATGGGCCTTTGGCCTGATCCAACATTGGCGTCTCTTATGTTCTTATGCCAAGGATGAGAGACTGATCATGCTGTAGATCCTGGCTGGGGAAAACGAGGCATTCAAATGTTTCAAAATGTTTACACACACACACGTTTATGTATGTGTGTATACACACACATGTGCACATAGACACACACACCTACATATACAAATAAATATATTTGCCAGAATTGTATTACATTTTAAAGTGCACGCACCCCACCTTTCCCTTTTAAAAGTCCTTAAAATGGCTTTTAATTGTAAGAAGTACATCAATAAAGTAACAAGAATAAAACCAAACAGATGTTCTGATTTCAGCAGCAGCACAAGAACACACTAGTAACTATTAAAACCTCACCTGAGAGCCATCCCGGCACCTGAATGAGAATAAAGATGGCAACCAGTGTTCCCTCTAAACTGAGTTAGTGTGAGCTAGCTCAGTTTTTTAGCCTCCAGGTCACACATTTTTGTCTTAGCTCAGGAAGGGTGGCTCCAGAGCAAGCTAATTTATGCAGTAGCCAAATCACTCACTCACAACTTTAATGCCAGCAGCTCACAAAGTAGAATTTTTGCTCACAAGACTCCGCAGCTTAGAGGGAATGCAAATCTCCCTGGAGAAGTTAGCTGCAAAACAGGTGCACCAACACCAAAAAGGCTCTCTTTATCCATGTACTCTGCAGAATCTTCCTTGGCGGTCTCCCAAATACTGACTCTGCTTTGCTTCCGAGATTTAATGAGATTGGGCTATACCATGCCACCTTCCTTCCTGTCTGACCCAAAATGCCACCTATGTAGGACCCAGAACCTTATGGGCAGCCCCAAACTTGTCATGGCTGCTATAAGGTCCTCTGTACAGATGCTTGACACTAAATCCAAGACCACATCAGCAAGTTGAAGCAGGAAATCCATTAGACAGCAGGTTGAGCAGTATATCAACAGAATTCCCAGTTTATTCTGATTGCTTACCAGTGCCACTTGAATCTGTTTTGTTGGCCAGGAAACACAGCAGGTGAGATAGCATTCTCCCTAAACACAGGATTTTGGCTGATGCAGCACGAAAACCCCAACTGGAAGAGATTAGCCCTATGCTTTTCCAAACCTGATCATTTCCCAACAAAGCCATGTATCTATATTATTTTTATTTATTTATTTTTTTTGTTGGGATTTTTACCCCGCCCTCCCAGCAAAGCGGGCTCAGGGCGGCTTAGAACATAAGAACATAAGAGACGCCAATGTTGGATCAGGCCAAAGGCCCATCCAGTCCAACACCCTGTGGCCAGAAATACCAGGTGCCATCAGGAGGTCCACCAGTGGGGCCAGGACATTAGAAGCCCATATAAAACAGGATAAAAACATTAGTAACAATTAGTCACTTGTGTGAATCAACACTTCTCACACTTTACTTTAGAAATAACAATAGAATGGCTGATGGTGATGGAAAGAAGTCTTGCTCATATCAGGGTTGGGTAAAAAAGATCTAGACATGCTATCCACAGTGCAGTCAGGACCTGCCTGTGCTCTAAGGCACTTCTGGACAGAAATGCCTGCAACCAGTTTTGACAGATGTGCCAGTGGCACCTTCTAACTGGAGACAAGGACCCACCCGCCGTTATACATGCTCTTGTAACCTCCAGATTAGGATTGGATAGGCGTAACACATTCTAAATTTGTCTGCCTTTGAAAACCTGTTTGCAAACTTGCTGTCAGAAGTACTTTAATTTTCTGCTTATTTTTTAAAAATCGGTTTTGCAGTAAGTTTCATAAGAGCAAGTTAAGGCAGCAAGAAAGAGTCTCCGTTCCACTAAATATACAGGCCACTCTGCTGAGTTACCCCCTGCATACACTTTCAGAGGCCTTTTAGTCTTCATGGGAGGGGTTTTTTTTGCCGTCAAGTCACAGTTGACATAGCGACCCTGCAGGGTTTTCGCGGCAAGAGACGTTCAGAGGTGGTTTGCCCTTGCCTGCCTCCACGTCACAACCCTAGTATTCCTTGAAGTCTCCCAACCAAATACAAGCCAGGGCCGACCCCACCTAGCTTCCAAGATCTAACGAGATCTTGTCTTTGCACCGAGGAATAATAACCTCAATCAGGGTACATAATCGGAGGATTCCGCGGCTACCTACCAGTAGTTTCCAGATAGTAGTGTGTGAGGCCCTTCCAGTGCTCCGTGAAGGCTGCCAGGAGGTCTATGTCGGGCTCCTCCTGCGTGAGAAAGCCTCGGTGAAGGGGGGGACAAGGCCACCCAGTGTTGCCCCCCCCCCGTTAGTGAGCCACGAAGGCCAAGATCCCCGGTGGGCTTCGCCCGCACCGCTCCCACCCACCTCGATCCCTCCTCGCTACCCCCACCCCACCGGATCCCCCCTCCCGCACCGTCGCCACGGCCCGCTGGAGGAGGGCGCCCAGGCGACCGAGGAGGGCCATGGCTGGGCGGTAAGAGCAGAGAGGCAGGAGAGCTGCTGGGGGCCAGGCGGCGGCCCTCTTCCGCGCCCCCCCCCCCCCCCCCCCCCCGCCAACCTGCTTCGGCTCCCTGCTGGGGGGAGTGGCAGAAAGACGTAGGCAAAGCAACCCAATCTCTGGGAAGGAAACACAAGGCTGCCGCCTCTGATACGGCTATTGCCCAGTCCCTCACGGATGTCAGAACCGGAACCCAATGAGAAGGGAGATACAAGCGAATGTCCCGCCTGCCACCCAAACGAGACGCCATCTCTGAGGCGACCGGGGTTTGTTGTGTCTCTATCGTCATCTTTCCGCGACTCGGGTTTACGAAAAGAGACGAGGCCCTTCGGCAGTCGAAGGAGTAGGGGAAGCTGTCATAGGTGGTGCCTATCTTTTCATCCCCGGTCGTCATGTCCTTGGGGTCGGTACTCCGTGGAGTTCGGAGTCGCCCGGGGCTTAGTGCTCTGAGAGCGGTGAGGAAGGGCTGGTGGGCCTCGGAGTGCGTGTGCGCGCCTGACTGTGCTTCGGATAACTCGGCCCTTGGTCAGCCGGGCGGCCTCTTTGCCTGCCTAAGCAGCCCTCTGGACATTGCAGGTGTCCTCGTGAGCCTGTACCGGCTCTCCCGCCGCAGGGCAGGGCTAAGCTTACCACCTCAAGTTGGGACCTGGAGTTTCCCCGGAATTTTATTGCTACCCAGACTTCAGAGATCAGTTGCCTTCGAGGAAATGGCAGTTTTGGAGAGCATATGGCATTGCCTACCCGCTGAGCTCACTCCCCTCCCCAAACTTTATCCTTCTCGGGCACTGCCTTCAAATCTCCAAGAACTTTCTGAGCTGGGGCTCGTTATCGTAGTCAGGGAAGGGTCTGTACAGCCATGAAGAGTTCCCAAGTTCCAGTTCAGACAATGAAACTGTTCTGTAACACTCAGAACCAAATGTGGTTGCTGGTAACTGCACTGGTGCAAATTAAAATCCATAGATGTTAAAAACAAAGGGGAGTCGAGGAGCAAAAAAGTGTTTTTCAGGCTGTGGCGTTAAGATCCCGTCATTTGCATCCTATAAGATGCTTAGCTGACTTTGGGTACGGGTGTGGCTAATAAGCTAAGTATGCTTCATGCATCTGGTGGGTTGCAGATGATCTTTTTTTCCTTTCTAGGTGTTTTTCTTCCCTCTGTCCTTTTGATTTTAGCATTTAGCCTGATGAAAAACTTTGAAACACTAAAAAAATTGTATACTGTTTTGTGTCATTTTTGTTGACCTTAACAAAAAGGTATTATGTGTCTATTCTTTTTGGAGCTGAATTTTATTGCCCCCCCCCTTTCTTGCTCACCCTGGTGTGACCATAACCATTCTCCTTTTGGCTGTCATGGAGTCCTAACTTATAAATGGCAATTTGCCCATCCTGGATCAGTTCTTGCCAGTTTGCCAGGTGACTCTCTGAACCTTAGTAATTGCTTGCTCTGTGGCTGCTTGGCTCTTTACATTGTGTGGAAGAGCATTGAAGTAACAATAAACTTTTATTGAATTGGTCTGTTTTTTCCCTCCTAGGCAAAGCTTCATATTACTCCTAGTTGGAACCTGGAGTATGGCTGGACGGCCTATGTTTTGGGAGAGAGAACGACTAAGAGGTTCAATGAATTCAGCAAAGTTTTCACAGTGGATGGCAACTTGCGCAGTGGCAAGGGCAAACTGGCACAGCACATAGCAGAAAAGCTAAGTACGTATCTTTATGTAATTTTGAGTATTGCTGTAGTGCTCACAGTCTCTGAATAGTAATAATTGCGTGTTAGCTATTTGGGGCTAGGTTCAAGTGTCTTAAGATCCCATGATTTCCTGCTAATGTAGACTGGCAGTGCAGCCATTAAATAGAGTAAATGTGGCAATTTCTGTGCTGGTATTCTTTTGTTTTTCTTAAGTACACTGCTGTTGTTGGTCCTTTGTTAAAAATGCAGAATGTCTATTGGTCCAGAGTCTGAGCAACTTTTTGATTCCGGCTGGCTTTTGGTGACTGAGGCAAAGCTGGAAGTTCGCAATTTTAGCATGTTATTTATTGGTAGTTAATAAACCATATGCGTTTAAACTGATTAGCAATTGGACTCTGCATAAACTTCCTTATGAACATAAAAGTTCAAAGAAAAATACTTTCTTTTTTAGATGAAGCATACATCTTAGTAGTGACTACTACCTTTGATGGAAGTGACACGCATTCTGACACATTGGATATTCGTTACCAGAATCATTTGGAGAATTTGTGCAGTTACTATTCATGTCCCATTATACAATTTTTTAGCAACTGCAAAGCATATGAGAAAGCAACACCTGGCTCTATAGAAATTTTTTTATACATTCGTTTCTGGATGTGTGTTATTATACAATAGGAATATTGACCACTGAGGAAGGAGGCTCAAAGGGGTCGAAATACGTATGGTCTATTGGTCAAAAGTTTTACCCATCAATTGGACATGTATAACTATCAGCTCTGAATGTAATAAGCTTTATGAGTCTGATATTTGGACTATTTTTTTAGCCTTATATATGTTTTATTTATGTGTACACCATAATAAATATTTGTATTTTTATAACAATTTATTTGTTAGCTTGACCCTCCTAGATCACAGTTCCTCAACTAACCATTGCATCCATAGTCTTATATAGATGAGACAATCTCTGTTTCTTTCCCATTTAACCTAAGCCTTTGATTGTTCCTTTCCAGATATGCGATACTTTCCAGAAGCAGATGTTCATTATTTAGACAGAGTCACAGGAGATGGATCAATTCTGGATTCAAAATTCAGTGGCAATTGTAGCCTGGAGACGTTTTACAATGATCCTAAACATCCAAATGGAAATTCATACCGCCTTCAAGCCTGGCTGTACAGTAACCGCCTTTTGCAGTATGGTGATGCGCTGGAACACCTTCTGGCTACAGGTAAGAATATAAGAAAAGTCAATGTTGGATCAGGCCAATGGCCCATCCAGTCTAATACTCTGTCACACAGTGACCAAAAATACCAGTTACCATCAAGAGGTCCATCAGTGGGACGTGGAGCCAGGACACTAGCTCCCACTGTTGACCCCCCCCCCCCAAGCACCAAGAATACAGTATATCACTTGCCCCACACTGAGAGTTCCTATCTATACCTTGTGGCTAATAGCCACTGATGGACCTCTGCTCCATATGTTTAACTAATTCCCTCTTGAAGCCGTCCATGCTTGTGGCAGTGAATTCCCTGTGTTAATCACTCTTTGGGTGAAGAAGTACTTCCTTTTATTTGTTCTAACCCGACTGCTCAGCAATTTCACTGAGTGCCCACAAGTTCTGTATTTATCTACCCACTCTAACCCCATGTATAATCCTGTAAATCAGAGAAAACAAATATCACGCAAATAAAACCATATCTGAAAAAATTAGCTACTCAGACGGCTTTCAGGAGCAGCTCTCAAATATATGTGATTTGTAAGTTTAGTTTCTAGCATATACTGTTTAAAATGTTTTTGCATACAGAATATTTCTTTGAAGTAGAGTAATTCTACACAAAATCGCACTCCTAACTAATATACATTAAACAACTTCATTGTAATCTTCTTCTAAATAAGATGTGCAAGTATTTCTCATGCAACACTTTGTATTTAATTCTAGGGCAAGGAGTAGTGCTGGAACGCTCCCCGTACAGTGACTTTGTATTCTTGGATGCAATGTTTAAGCAAGGCTACATTCACAAAAGGTGTAAGTAATGTTTTTTTTACAAGAAAGGTAGTTGTTCAGGAGAATACGATGCTCCTGTAAACTAAAAGCTGAAGAATTCATGGAAGTGGTATGATGTAGTGGTTAGACCTGGATGGTTAGGCCTGTAGTGGTTGAGCATGGATTCAAACCTTAGACCTGGGTTTGAATCCATGCTCAGGTAATGAAGCTTATTGTGTGATGTTAGGCTAGGTAGAGAGTAAGTGATTGGTCCATCTCATAAGTTGTTGTAAAAAAGGGGAAGATGGGATTCTTTTTTTCCCCTTTTTTTTTTGAGCCCCCGGAGGGGATTTTTTATTATTTTTTTTTCAAACTACAAAAACTATCACAGAAAAAGGGAAGAGGGACTACATATACGGGACAAAGTATAGAAACCCACTACTGACTAAAAACCCAAGAGAGGAGATCCTCACTAGCTTCATTATATCAAGTCTTCACTTCATTTAGATCAATATAAGCTGAGTCAGACATTTCAGGACTTTTTCCTTTTCATTAACTCTTAAAACTTAACTGTCTAAGAACAGTACCCCCCAGTCATCCCTATTCACAGTTCTCAAAGGCACAATTCAGAGTCTTTCCGCCTTTACATCTCTTTTCCTCGTCTCTTCCGCAGCTTATAAAGACTTTTTGGGGCAGCTGCCCCTTGCTCCATCAGAGAGTCCTCTTCGGAAGAACCCAAGTCCAGCTCGCCACTAGACTTGCTGTCCTCTTCTTTTTTCCCATCCTGTGGTCTTCCCAGCTGAACCCTTAGAAATTCTTGGGCTTTCAGAACAGAGTCAATCTTTTCTTTTTTTTATCCTTAAACTTGAAAGTAATGCCTTCTGGAAATAGCCATTTATATCCAATTGAGGTTGTCTGAAGGAAAAGCACAAGCTCTTTGTACTTCTTTCTCCGTTGCTTCAAATGGAATATCCTTTTATAGCCTGAATATGATCGATAGATCACATCCATATCGCTCAGCTATGCTTCTGCCTTCATTTCTGTCACTGGGGTTAGCAATTCACTCATAACTTCTTTAAGATTCTCTCCCGATTTTTCCGGCATGCCCTGGAAGCGAAGAATCATATTAGCCTTTTCCATTTGCACGTGTAACAGTTGGTCTTCCATGGAGATTTGTTTTCTTTCCAGCTTTTGCACTTTCTTCTTCACCTTCTGTGTAGTTGCAGCCACTTCCTTTACCTTCTCAGTATCTTGCTTCATTATTTGCAGCATATCATTTATCTGAGTTTGTTGAGCAGTAATACTTTGAGTTATTACAGACATCTGTTCCTTGAAGTTATTCAGCTGTTCCAGCAGAGGACACATATACTCTGCTATAGCCTTAGCCACCTCACTGGTAGCTTCCGGTTTTGGGCTCTCTAAGCCTTTCGCTTTCAAAAGTTTTTCTCTGTCCTTCTTCCCTCCCATCTTTATCGTTTGTTTACTTTCACAATTTTTTTAGAAGTCTCTGAATGTGCACTTGACCGCTTAGATTCGCTTTGGTAAGTACTTCTCTACAGTTTTCTTCGCGTTTTCTTCCGCTCCCCCCTCAGTTGCTCCCTCCCCCACTCACCTTTTTACCGTTCAGTGGGGTGGGGTGGGGAGCTAGCCTTTTCCCTTTAAAAACGCTTTAAAGCTGACTCACGTTCATAATTGGTCATTTGACCTTGCTTTCAGCTTCATTTCTGATGCTCGATCTCCCACGCTTGCCCCGGTCAGTGTCACTAAATCTCTCACAGCACGGAGAACCGTTGGAACGAAGAGGTGCTTCAATTCTCCTGCATTCTGCCCTCGAAGAGGCAACCGCTTAGAAGTTCCATGGCCAGAGTCCCTTCCCCGGGTCTCTGGGGGGGTAAGCAAGCCTGCGCACCTCCTCCTTCGGCTGGAGCGCAGCTTCACCCCCGGGAGGTCCGGGAGGTGAGTCTGCTAGCGTGCCGCCATCAATCGGAAGTCGGGATTCTTATATTAATGGACACGACTCTGAACTCATTGGAGGAAGGATGGAGAATCTGTATGTGAAGAATGGGAGAGTAGTAATGGCGGTCATCTGTTCACAGTGTATATTCATGTACCCCTCCAATGTACATTATTTTCATACCTCTTAAATCAGTATTTAGTTATTCAACTGATGTATTTGCTGTTTGTCTGTGCCAGTGTCCAGGCCTAGCCGCCTGATTACATTTTTCCTTTACAATGCGAGCCAGAGGCATCATTTTATCTGTCTTCTGTCCATCTCATGAGGTGTGTGACACTAGAATTTTGGAAGTAGTTTCTTCTGGGCTGTATTAATGCAATCAGTGGAACTCAAGCAGAAGACAATGCTGATGGTGGGCTGATCTAGTTGAATCTCAGAACTGATCCTGTTAAGTCAGTGAATTATTTATTTATTTATTATTTTGATTTATAGCCCGCTCTCCCCGCAAGTGGGCTCAGGGCGGCTCACAAATAGAGCACATGCCAATACATAAAACAGGTTAAAAGCAACATAAAAACAGTGAAGCACCTGATCAGCACACAACTGACTTTATTGTGGAGGAGTTATGCTAATAACATTTTTTTCAAGCTTTCTTTATTGCTGTTCATTTTATGGACACTGCATCTCCAGCAGTAAATACCGATGATCCCAAACTGGAACTGAGCTAGATTTTTCTTAGCTCACTTTGCTCTCTTGGGTTGTGATTGTGCCTTTTCCTTACAACTTATTGTGCTGAAGTTTCAACAACTGCAAGTAAGTATTTCTAATTCCCTGCCCTTTTAATCTGGGCGTGCCCTTTCATAATATATGAAACCCGAACATTTTGGTCTGTTTTCTAGCTTCAGAACCAGCCCTGAGAACAGGAAGGAGAAGAGAGCTCAGTAGCCACTGTTATGGGAAACAGTGTCTCTGTACAGCAGTCTTTTGTTGTACCTTAGACCTACTAATGTTTTCACAAAGAGAGCTGGAGAGTCAGTTCTGCAGTGGGGAGGAGATTCATTTGATAATCTGTTGGCAATCTTATTTGTCACAGGTGGCTGGGTAGCCACAGTTTCTTGTGCTGGCACAGGAATGTCTGCTTCCAGTTGCTGCTTGTTGTTGATTCTGCCTGGCATATGGCACTATAATTATCTCTTCCACTGATTAAAAACATTCTCTTGCATGTGCCTGTTTTTTCGTTACAGGTGTGGAACACTACGGAAAGATCAAGCACCTGAGCATTTGTGAGGTCTTGCCTCCTCACCTGGTCATTTATATCGATGTACCTGTCCCAGAAGTGATGAAGAGGATTGAAGAGAAAGGAAAGGTAAGGCAGGGAATAAATGTGAACAAGTATTTTCCTTGTGGAAATAACCACTGCACGATGATGTGAAAACATGGATAGCTAAGAGCTTTAAATGGTCAGAGGACTTAAGAAACTTTGTCAGACAGTCAATAGTGTGAACACCTTTGTTTTCTTTTTAGCCATATGAAAAGAAGGTATCATCTGCTTATATTCAGAGCATTGAAGACTGCTATAAGAAAACTTTCCTGCCAGAAATAAGGTTAGTGAGCGTAAACACTGAATGAATTGAATTGTTTGCTCATTAATGGTGCTTTTGGTGCTGTGTTGACTGTTCTTGATGTATTTGATTGTTCATGGATGTTTAGAAATTTTGAAGTGCAGCCCTCTCTACTTAGAAGGTTAATAATATCCATGTAGCACTCATGCCCCTCATCAAATCCCCAGAATCTCTAGAAGGGCATCACGGTGTGACTATGGGACACCTGCTCCTTAAACTGCCTTTGTGTGAACTTTTTGTTTTATGTTTGTATATGTTGCTTTACACAATTGGAACACATGTGTACGAGTGCTTTAAAAATGATGAAGTGAAACCCCCAACATTCCTTTCTTGTCAATTGGCAGTTGTTCTCATTCATTGTCTCGCGGTCCATCCTGTCCACTCCTCTGTCTTGTGATCCAGGTGTCTGTGTGTGTCTCTGATCAGTGTTCCCTCTAAGCTGAGTTAGTATGAGCTAGCTCACAGTTTTTTAGCCTCCAGCTCACACACTTTTGTCTTAGCTCAAGAAGGATGGCTCCAGAGCAAACTAATTTACGCAGTAGCCAATTCCTCACTCAGAACTTTAATGCCAGTAGTTCACAAAGTAGAATTTTTGCTCACAAGATTCCATAGCTTAGAAGGGAGCCTTGTCTCTGACCTTTCTAATGAGCTTTGTATGGAACATTCCCTTCCTTCCATTTCCTCTTATTTATTTATTTGTTAAACTTGTATCCCACCGTGGCAGGCTCAGGGTGGCATGTATGTTAAAACACCGGAGTATATTAAAACCCAAAATACAATTAAAATCACAACCTATAAGATCATCAGTGCTAAGAACGTATTAATACAAGATGGCGGCATTATCTCGACATTGGAAGTCGCCTACCACCGTAATCCAGGTTCCTGCCAGATTATTGGTCGTTGAGTTGGTACTGGTGTTAGGGCCAGGGCCATAGTCCCCCAGTTCTTAGAATGCAGCCTAATCACTGCTGCCCCCCGCTCTGCATCACTTCACAGCAGCTTTCTGTACCTATCAGTTTTTGTTGCTAAAATAAAGAGGTGTGTGACGCCTGGAAAACTAACAGGTTTATTGTTGACATTTCATGGTCCAGAATTTACTCTGAAAGAAACAAAGAGGGGAAGAAAACTTAACCCAGATATTGAAATCAAGAACCGAAAAGGTTAACAGTTAACCAAGTAAAGAGCCTATTGTTAAAAACAGTATATGTAACTTATTTATTATAAAAATACATGTATTTATTTTTATATGATTAAGATCCTTTAGGGGCCCAACGCTAACCTCATTACAAGTTAAAGCACTTGAAACACAAGTGGAAACCCATGCGACCCTATGCATTTTGGCCCTAAAGGGCATTCCTCAGATATCGAGCATATTGCATGCAGGCTCATGATACAACTTGTAATTATTAACAAATCAATTCTGGACCAATTTTTCCCCCCTAATAAATATAGAATGGCTCAAGGCTTAAGGATGTGCGTGAGGCCTCTCGTCATACAGCCTTCTATCATAATCAAAGGCTTATGTGTTTAGCATTTCTATTGTCTGCCTCTCAATGTAACAGGTGCCATATAGCGCCATGCCCAGTTCACGTTATGTTGACTCTGATCTGTCATTTGCATCTTGATGTTCTGGACCAAATTTGGGAAAAAGTTGTAAACAATGGGATCAAAATACCCAAATGATATACAAGGCATTTCTGCCTAAAACTCACATATACCTTAGAGAAGCACAGTGACTGTTCACAACAGCAGCAATTGCTGGTGGCAGTTTATTTTGCTAAACCGATTAATAGGTTTTAATGTGCGTAGTGGATGAGAAATGCCTCAGCCTTCATTCTGGCCTCGATGTTTGTGAGTACAATGAAAGGTCTTGATTTCTAAGTTGGCAGTTTCATTCCTTTTTGGCTGAAGAATGGTGGCTTTAAGGTGGGGCAGGCTGGCCATTGAAGTTACTGGGAAAATTCCTGGCAGGCTACTGAGAGATCCAACCCCCAGCAGCAACTCAAGCACTGCAGGAGTCACTTGGCTTGTCTGGTCTTAGTGATGTTGGAGCCCAGAGCCGAAGTCCAAAATGGGGCTCCAGGATCACTGTCATCCCAGGTCCAAGGAAGCGGTGGTCCAAGCCCTGCGGCAGTGGCACTACGGAATTCTTTAGCGCCACCTCTTAGGCAATTAGTGTGTTTTTATTATTTTACACTGTTTTAAAATGATACTTGTCATGGATTTACTGTGTTGTACACCACCACGATCCCTGCCATGGCAGGGGGAGGGTGGTCTAAAAATCTAATGAAATAAACAAATAATTTTTGAAGAATGACTTAATGATCTTACAGTCTTCTGCTGTCTGCATGTGTCTATATTTGCCTTTGTGGGGTTAGGCTCATGGTCGACTTCTGTTCTGCAGTCCTCTCGTCTTTCAGAAGTTCAGCTTGGGGCGTTACCCTTGTCCTGTGGATGTCTTTTGTTGTGACTCTTCTAGCACACTGTGAACTCCTGATCTGAGAAGGCCCACTCCTCCTCCTCCTCCTCTTTCCACTGTGCCATCCTGCAAAGACACTTCCTCTAGATCTCTTTCAGCTTCTATTAATAGCGCTGTTCTTAAGAGCGGTACCACTTGTCTTCCTCACAGCTTTTTTTTTTTTTAAAGAATCTTATAGGCCTTATTTTCCTGTCCTGTAGGGGCAACACTCTGCTCTTAAAGCCATCCTGCCTGTGGCTTCTGCTACCCCCGTTTATCTTCTGAGTTTTTAAGCTATTTTTGTTTTTATGAAATGAAAGTATTTCCTCTGTTAGCTGTACAGCTCAGTTGCTACGTGAGTTTTTGTGGGTCTGGGAAAACAAATACTGAGAACTAGTAATTGTAGAATCAAGAAAATTTCACGGAGTCAGTCTGTGAGAGGGCACGGTCGGCTTGGTGTGAGAGGCTTATTCGTAGCATTTTAATGAATCTGGAACAGTCAATCTTGAAAGAGATAAAATCTCACTGTCTGATATTTGCTAGCATATTTTCTAAAGCAGTTTTGGGGGATGCAGGGTGACAAAAGTATTGTGTTTCTTCTCCACTGAGCATATTGTCAAAATATTATACTTCCATACAGGAAGGTAGCTGAGAGACGACCAAGGCATTACCAAGTCTCTTCCATAACCATAGGAGAATTGGGATTTACAGTTTATAGTAACTGTTCCTGGTGGTTTTAGATTTAACTTTTATATTTTCCGGATCCAAGGATTTAACATTAGAATTTTTATTTCTAGTGAGACCTCTGAGGTTTTGCAGTATACACCTAGTGAGGCTGAAGAAGTGGATAAAGTAAGTCTGGTTGGTGTATTGTTTCTGCGTTCTGGACTTCCTATGGCAGGAGGATTCTCTCTCTCTCTCTCTTTTTTTTGGCTGATTTCTTCTCCCTTAAATTTTAATTATTTGAATACAGTTGTTTGGTCTGGTATGTTTTCTTCAGTCGATAGAATGGGGCTTGTGTGTTTGAGTGTACAGCCTTTGTTTTTATTTTGATTCAAGAAGGAAAAAATGATTAGGGGTAGGCCCCAAAAAACGATGAGTACAATGATTGTTAGAGAGGAGATCTTGAAAGCTGAACTCAACTTAGCAAAAGGGAGGTTGAGAGGGGCTAGCCCAGGATAAGGGTAGAGAATTGTTGTGTCTGCAGTCAGCACTGGCAAGACATTGATCATCTAATTCTGGGAGCAGAAAGTGACTTTTCTGTATCCAGAATAAGACATTTTTGGGACAGCTTCAGTGGAAGATACTTTCAGTTTTTCAATAGAGTTAGGATAAACTTGTGAGGTTTTTTAATGGTGCTTCAGAAGACCTTGACTCTTCTGTTCTTCTCTTACAGCGTTAAGGGGGAGCTACATAAAATTACACAGTGAGCTTCATAGGTGAGCAGGGATTTGGAGCTGGAGCCTCCCCAATCCAGTATTCCAGCTGGTAAACCACACTGGAACAGAAGATGTATTGTGATTGGTCATTGCAGAAGGATGAATATAGTTCCTAACAAGATTTTTTGCTGAAATAAGCAGGGGACTATAAATGCTTTTTTGAGAACACCAGATTAATAAAATGAAATGAGAAGGGAGGTGGTTACTGTTTGGGGTCCTAGAATGCCTACATTTTCTCTGGAAATCACTGGTAGAATTGCAACCGTAGTGTAATTATAGTAAACCTTAAATATCAGTAAAAGGCTGACTGTAGATACCTTTGTGCCTTCAGTCCATCTGTTAAGGCTAGTGTATTGTGTGTATTGTGCTAGCCTTTTGACCAAAATAACATCAGAGCCATGCTGGGTCAGACCATTTGAGGACAGCAATTGCTCACTTGCTTATTTCCTTGCTAACTTGACTCTCAAATGGAATTTTTCATTATAGAATACAGTGCCTTCTGCCTTTTTCCTCAGTCCATTTCATGCTTCAGGTGAATGTGACTGAACTTGTTCTAAGTCCCTGTCCCCCCATTAGTTGCTATAGCCGTATCCTTTGCTTTTGTGGAAATGATGCACTGTATTTCTCATAACTAACTAGGGAAACCCCACATCAAACATGTTTTCTCTTTACAGGTCATTGAAGATATTGAGGCCCTGGACTTCAATAAGGGACCTTGGCTAGAGCAAGATGACGTTACTTTTCATCATTTGAGGAAACTGTAAGGGCCAGCTGTTTCCACAAGTCTCATTTCATTCTGCACCTTTGCTATTAATGCTACCAAACCATACAAAATATAAGCCCCTCCACTAATCCTGCAGAGGAAAGTTCAGCGCAGTCTTTCCCAGCATATGTAGACTCTACGGTAGTGGCTCCCAAGCTTTTCTGAATTAAAATCTTCACCTGTGTGTTCTAAAAATAAAAATCCAAGGTGCCCACTTCCTGTGTGCTTACACTTTGGAAGGTGGCAAGCTCAGAGAAATGCCTTCTTCAGAGACTTAGTGGGCAGCTCAGAATTCTGCATTCACTACAGGCCCCTGATCTTGGGTTTGCAGTCAAAAAAAATGAGACCAAGGAAGAAAAAGGTTGAAACCGTGGATGAGGGCAACAGCCCTTGCTGTGTCTGTGGCACACGGAGGGATGCCACTCCCATTCCTGGAGGAGCTGTTTCAGCATCATTTCGCTACAAAGCACAAGCACTCTGTCGCTTGTGGAGAGTCACACTTGCAAGTACCATCAAGTGAAGAGCCACATAATTGCTATATGCCCCATGCACTACCCTGCCAAACACACAGTAAGATTAAATATATAATCGTAACCTTTTTAGTTACCTGATCACTGACACTAGGGTTGTCTCTCCTCACCCCTGTTGAACCTTAGCTGCCGCCTTGTGTACCTGGTGTGAAGGGAAGGGCTTCCCTCTCTTCCTTCTTGCTCTCTCCCCAGCATGAGGCCTAGTAGCACTACTTCAGTCCGTGGCACAAGGCCTGCAGCTCAGAAGGCTCACGGCTTACCCATTCTCCCACTTCTCCAGCAGCAGCTGTGTCAAGGTTTGAACCACCAGCCCTAGGGAGCAATGGCCTTGTCCGCTTTCCTGAGATTGGGGGTAGGGTTACTTATCAAGGGGAGTTATTTACCTCCATGCTATGAAAACTTTCAACTGCCTGTTTCCACACATGAAGGCTCTTTTAAGGGGAGAAGACATTTTTTCCACAAGCCTGTTAGCAACCTTTAATCTGGGGCAGGTGCCACCATGTTAGGCAAAAGTACTCAAAAGAGTCACAGGTAGCAAGGTTAACACACAGGTGCCAAAGCCTTGGCACTAGTTTCATGCGGTGATCCATTCTCCCCCTTCCGTGGTCTATGCTGCCACTTGCAATCTTTATTTAAAAGAGTTGATGCTGCTTCCCCTGCCCTCCCTCCCCCCCCCCACTGGATTGGGATGCATTAGTGGAAGCAGGATGAGAGGAGGCAGGGTGTGATGCAGAAGCAGGATGCATCCCCCCCGACCCATTTATTTTTATTTTCTTTATTAAGATTTATACCCCGCCCTCCCTGCAGAGCGGGCTCAGGGCGGCTTACAAGGGGCAAAGCCCATATAAAACAGATAAAAGCAATAAAACATTAATGACAATTAATAAAAAATTATACTCAATTTAACAAGATGGTCTCCGGATGGTTCTCCAGGGTGATGTTATCCTATAGCTCAACCAGGTAAATCCAGCGGCCACACAGAAATTGTGGTAGATCTTCCTGGGCCATCCTTAACCCCGATGTTGTCCACCTCATTGGTGGCGGTGGTAGTGGTTATTCAGCCTTATTTCAAAGTCATTTCTGCCTTGGGTAGGTGGGCTGTGCCGTTGGTGGGGGTGCCCATGGGATATAGTATTAAAATATAAATGTAACTCGCTACTAGAATCCTTTGCAGAGGTGAAAGAAGTTGCCATTTTGTGACTTCCTTATGAATATTAGAACTGACTTGCTAAACACCCACATAGTCCAGCATTCCGATCCCAGCCACTGCCAGCCAGATGACTCTGGACAGCTCACATGCCGAGCATGGAGGCAGCAGCCCTCCCCCTTGCTGTGTCCCTGGCCCATGGAGGTACGCTGCTCCCATTCCTTGAGGCGCTGTTTCACTCTCATGCCTCAACACCTACATTCCTGTATTAGACACTCCAGATACCCTCCCCGCCAGTGAATGGGAAAATATCAGGCCTCCAGGAAGAGCTGAAGCTCAGGAGAGCCAGGTGACTTGCTTAGAAGAGGCAATCTGTAGAACCCACCAGAGGATTCTAAGGATAAAACTATGGCCTGTTTTTCCTCATCCTGGCTGGCCTATTTTGTGGTGATTTTTAGTAATCCAGTGTGCTCCTGGAAGGGAAAGAACGTGGCACCTTCACCCCAATGCACAATTCTCTTCTGAGAGAGTACATTTCCCCCCCCACACACACAGTATGTTTGAAGCTGCTGCAAGGTTTCTCTTGAGAAATGGGGGTAACCGGGTTTTCTTTCCTCTTCCTTCAGTGTCCAGGACAAGATGGCATTGGTCCGTCCGACGAGCGTTCCAATATACATCCCTGAAATCACGATAGGAGGCCACGAGCTTGACAAAGTGTATTACCAATACAGGGACGTAAGTGAACATTTTAAGATGGTGTTTCTGCCAAAGGTAGGCTTGTGAGATGGGATTGTTCGTCAGGCTTAATTTAAATGTGGCACTTGTAAGGCCAAAAGTGCTTTCCCATGAAGCTTTGCACTCAAACAGCATCGCTGCTCTGCAAGCACAAAGTCCAGCAGGGAAGTGCATTTGCCTTGCCAGAATCGCATTTCACTCAGGCCTATATCCAGCCATTGGGAGAGGATTTGCCTGTGACTAGTCTGTGATGCCCACTCAGTGTGTGCCAGGGTCTGCCCTTCTGTAAGGCCATATGAGCCTGTTGAGCCCCTTCCTGATGGAGGTTGCTATTGTGTAGTGTGTGTGTGTGTGTGGGGGGGTTTGTAAGCCTGCAGCCAGGGTTGCCGTCTATATCCTTGGACAAGGATATAGCTACTTTAGATGGTTTCAAAATCAGCTACTTTAGATGGTTTCAAAATAATACCATGGTATTTATAAATAAATGTTTATTATTTATAAATTTAATAAATTTATTATTTAATAAATGTTTATTGCGCGATGTCAAGGCCCCTGGTCCTTAAATTCAGGAGCCGCATAGCAAGTCACTTGGTCTTGATGGCTGATCGTTAGATGTGGCTTGAGAAGAGAGTATAGCTGCCCAACCAACATGTCTGGGCTTTCCTGGGGGGGGGGTTTTGGCCCCTCTCCTGTTCTCAGGAATTCTCTGCAGGCATGCTCTAGTTCCACTTGCAGAACTACAGCTCTCAGACTTCCCTGAGGAGTGTTTGCCTGTCAGATTAGTTTGTATATAGACATGCTTGGAGAGGAAGGGTATTCCGAGCTCTGTGATGACACAAGATCCACTCATTTTGGAACTTCCTTTCCTTTTTCTGCAGCTTCCAGGCCGCAAGTATGATGTTGGTTTTAATGCTGATGTCGGAGACAAGTGGATTTGGCTGAAATAAAACTCTCTGGGAGAAGTGGAAACATTCAGTTGACCACTGAATGGCGATGACGACAATGACAGTGGTAATGATGATGAAGCTCCTATTAATCATCCAGCTCATTCCACCTCCGCAGGGTGCCTGAAGCACAAGAAGATACCACTGTATAGGATGACCTTGTTGCAGGAAGTGCATCCTCCCCAAGGCTGTTCTGAAATGTATCTCACTACAAAGACTTAAGTCATTAGTGTGACAGGTAGGCTTGGTGATATAAAATAGGACCCCATCATCAAAACTGTAGCTTAATGTGTCCTAAGAGCTTGGCTGGATGTAAGTAAAATAAAATCCTTGGCGAGTATCATTTTTCAAGTGAGCATTTTTTTGGGGGGTGGCTGTCTGATTGGCACAGCTAGGCTCTCCTAAATGACTGCAGTCCAGCTCAGATCCTTCTTGGCCTACACCAGGGTCCCAAAGGCCCAACCCAGATGTAAAACATACTGTCCTAAAGGCAAGGCAGCCGTTTCAGTGCAAGGGTTGCAGTTTGCCTTTCCCCCCCCCAGCCTAATTCACCTCCCAGTGTGGTGGGGCTGGGGAAGAGGAGATCAGCGTGTCCATTCTCCTGAGCTGCTTTGTGGCAGGGTGAGATACAAATGAGGCAACCCTAAAGTAGTTCCTGCAGCTGAAAAGGGGCTCGCCCGCTAAGGTTCGGCCCGGCTTAATACTAGGTAAATGGGGTGGGATTCTGCACCAGCCTTGTCCGACTCTTCTCCCTCCCCTCCAAATACCAAGACATTTCGAATAAAGCCACTTCACATTTATTTAAAAGAGGGAAAAATCATTTTCACACAATTTGACATCAGGGCAGGGGTGGAACCAATGCTGGGACAGCAGCGAGCCACTGTGCTAGAAAGGGAGGAGGAGTCCCTATTTATATATTTATAGATATGTTCACATCAGTAGCAGTGAAAAGCAAGTAGAGACCAGTGGCTTCTCATAAATTACATTTGCACAAAGTGGGGAGCTGGGGAGGGTGCTGGATGCCAGGCTCTTGCCCCAGAGCCAGACATGGCAGTTTCCCCACAGCTGTCTGCTAGAAAAGTACCCTTGCTTG